ACTTTGAATATTCATGACAAACGAATCAATATGACTAAATAATTTTTTCAAATCATGGCCTTGTCTTAGTTGTACATATATCAATTTACTTTATTTAACTGAATGTTATATATGTGAAAGTTCTCATTTAATAGATTTGAATAATAATTATTCACAAGTTATGAATTATCTTTTGCATAATCACAATCGTACTCTTATAAATTTGCAACTACTGCCGTTAATGATTTTTTGAAATATTTCTTATCATCATTATAAAAAGAATCTTATTTCTCGACAATTGTTACAACAATAAGGCAAATTTTTCGCTTGAATACGAAAGTAAAGTGTATTAATTTGAAAATGAAAATAAGATGAATTGTTGTTTGATGTGTGGAATATTTACGCTCACTCAAATGAAATTTCTAATAATAATTTTTAGTAATCTTCACCATCATATAATCGAAAATTAGAAATAAATTTCTATTCGATATCCTTTCTGAAGAAAAATCCACAATAGAGACTAACATTAAACTATTATAAGTTGAAGAAAATAAATCAACATTATCAATAATTACATCATTATTTGAATACTTGATTTATCATTTGATAAATCGAATACAAGATTAAAACAAATGATTCGATTACATCTTAGTAACAATCATCATGTTCACGTAATAACTGTCATATGTTGTTAGTCCATAACTATTAAATTTGCCAAAGAACTTGAACTTATCTTTTATTTAGTTTTTTTATGAAAATATCAAATCTATAGCAACATTAAATAATATTGTTCGTTGATATCAACAACTTTGGACATCATCATGATTGTTGTTAATCGATTCTTTACATTATATTCAATATAATAAAGATACATCAAATGCTATTGTTCTCATCACTAATTCAACACATCAATGAACTAATATTACTAATTATTTTATTTAAAAACAAAAGTTTGACATTTCATCTTGTTATATATTCTTGACCTCGTGAGATTTCAATTGATATTGTCGCACAATATAAACAATCTCAAAATGTTGCTATGTGTACTACATTCATTGCTGATAAATTTATTATTGAAATTAAAGATAAATCTGTCTATGAAATATGTGTGATAGCAGACACTAAGTCATATTGTACTTATTGAATCTTTTACTATGATAATTAATTATCTAGAAAAAATGGTAACAAATACTTGACTATCAACCTGATATAAAACAATTTGTTAATAACCCACAACATTCAATATTTAGAATGCTCAATTTATACTTAAATAATTTAAATGTCACGAAGGTATACATGATAATAAACAATGATATTTATTACGAGTTATTACTAATGTTTAATATCATCAGTATCGAAATCGGTTTAATCATATCGGCGATTGAAAGTCATTCTTAATGATACAATTATTTAATCATTGAATCATGAACTCAATGTTTATATGATTAGTAGAACTTTTAGAGTTATAGGTAAAAGTAACATGTCTCTATGTAAATATGGGTCACTATGTCATGATTTAAATAATGCGCCATATTGTCAATATTATTCTTATCTACCGTTATGACTTTGCCACGAATCATGTGATCAACCCTTTGAATGATGAAAAATATTTAAAAATGATTTATTTATCGTACAAAATATTAGCACGATGATGCAAGTAAAATTATGAGACATGAAAAACATTGCTTTTCATCGAAAATTTTGTTTCGATGGTGATTGTTCTTTTTTACTAATATGCATAAAATTTATTTAACAAAATTTCATCATGTATATTTATGTAAAGATGGTATTCAATGGCTTGCCTATCTTAAGAAAATATCCTATCACTGTCGTTCTTATTGTCATTATTAAGATGAGTGTCGGTTCGATGGTTATTATGTTAATTTTTATAATCAAGAGCATTCATTTTGTACACATTGCTTCTTAATACCTTTTGTATGCCAATATCAATTAGAATATTTACAAAAAATGCAGATCCTTTATTTGATATAGGATGAACAGTTAAAAAACATTGTATTCATTTTTGTCTTTTATGACGACAATCTTATGAAAAAAAATGTTTAACATAATCAAACTTCAATTCATATTGTTCGAAACATATATAATCTCAATTTTGATTATTGTTTAAAATTGGCAAATGAAGAATATTTAAATTCATTAACACATCCTAATATACATGACATGCAATTTGTTTATTAATATCCAAGTTCTGAATGTCAAGAACAGTAGAATCGGGATCATATCTCACGTTATCATCATACTGATAAGTATAATAATATAGATATTGTTGGTTATTTTGGGCATAAATGTAAATGTTAATTTTGTTCATAATCATTATGAATTAATAAGAACGATTTGTACATATACAAAATTTACTAAAATGGAAATATTCAAAAGATATTCTTGGCGAAAACACCAAATAAATTCAAGCTGTTGAATTTGATAAAGCTATTTTACTGACTGATTTTCCTGTAAGATCAGCAAGTATTGTTGGTACTTGTTATCAACTATATATATTATTAATGAACAAATCCAAGTACTATGAATAAGAGAATGATAAATGAAAGTGTACCATCGTCAAAATGATATACATATTATTCGAAAAAACACGTTACTAAATTTACAGATAATCTTTAAAACTTACGGTCAATCCAATGGATATTAGATATGGACTTGATGAATTATTTGGTACAAATAAAACATCTTTTTAGTCTATTAGGACTAAAATTTATGATGTTATTATGTTAATCTCTTAATTGTTTTTAAACATGAAATAATATTTCATCCAGATGCTAATTTTTCTATTCAAGCATCAACAACATACGATCAAAATAGAAATACATAAAAACAGCAAACATAGTTTAAATATCTTGGAACATGACAAGATCAAATTCAACATTTTCATAAGACTAAATTACATTGTTCTATATCTAATGTATAAATATGCAGCTGCTATGAAAATATTTATTAGCATTGATTTGATTACAAAGAAAAACAATCAATATTCAAATTAAAGGTATTCAAAAATGAATATTGATTCACATGAAGTATTTGTAGATTATGCGCATCAATCAACACATTTAGATTATATTGATTATTATCATCTGCTCGAAATTCATCTGGAAATACTTTTCATCATAAGTTAACGGCTACTAATTATGTTATTGATCTTAGCATTGTATATTAACTAGATGAAATAAGTATTCTTTCTGAAAAAATGTATTCTTGAGGAAATTAACAAATAAATTATTAATAAATATTTTCGTTTTCATCGTCGGACTATTATTAGAGTAACAGCTGGCAGTTTTATACAATATATTTATATTCCTATTGCTATGTCACAATTCTGTCATCAACATCAAGCTAATAATAGTCAAAGTGACAACATATTCATCTATGGACAAGCAATAAAAGATTATATGATGTTAGCTATTTTGAAATATCCGATTGACACTAGTAAAGACTATTATCATAATTCATGCTTTATATCTTATATTGTTGATATGTCATTAAAAGATAAGATGAACGATTATCATAAATCTTATTCATTACTAACAAATAATTAATCACATTCATATGATATGCTTAAACAAAATTGTAATATTAAAGCTAAATCAAATTCATTTTATAGTAACTGTAATATCTATGATTATAATATAATTTATCATTCGAAAAAAAAATCAAACAAAAAAACAAGTTAAGCTCTTTTACCATATGTATGAACTAATAATGTTGATTATCATGAGATAATTAGTTATACATTCTAACGTTGGAAACTTGAGTAAACTTGATTATATTCAAGTATATGCATATACACGAATTGTATCTAATTGAGAATTAGCCATTTAACATGAATATATCCAAGAATTATATCTATCGTTTGATAAAAATTTTAAAGAAGGTAGTGAACTATTGATATCTTTATCAAATCATTCGACTTATGTTAGAACTATCATAATAACGATGATCAAGAAAAATTGTTTTGGTATTCGTTTTAAAGATTAGATATTCAGTCAAGATAATATATCACTTATTCGATGTCTCAATTCAATTAATTATTTTTCAAAGTATTCATGTGAATACTTAAAATCATATTATAAAAAATATTCTCATCTATATCGCTATGCTGAAACATATTGATCAATTTCTAATGATCTTTATTTAATATCTTCAAGTTAATATGATAAAAACTATGGAGATTTTGTTGATTCTATTCATTGTGTTCGATATCAACACTCAAATTTATCTGATTATCTTATTTCATATCGATATAAAAGATATCGTAAAAATAAAACAATTGAACATCGAGTCAAGTATTCGTATGATGAAAAAATACCATTATCACTTACAACAGGTATGTCAAATAAAGTTTGATATCTATTTATACAAACAAAACAATATCTTTTCTAGTCGTTACATCAACAAAATCTTCTCTATCAGGAAGTCAAAACCAAACATAATCAGTATAAACTATCGAAACACACGTTTATGATAACGTTCATCATTATCCAGACGATTCAACATAATTTTAATATCTTCCATAACAGATATGACATAATTTTTATTTATTATTTTTCAAAATTTAATCTCATTTTTTCTTCGTTATTCATACTTTATCCATCTGAGACAACTATCATTTAAAAAGATAACCAAATTTTAATCAGCATAGATCAATCTATCAAAAATTATAAGTACAAAATACAAAGCGAATTCATAAATATTATATTCATAAAACCTTCGTTTCTATCAGAAATATGGAATTTTATATAAAGTCGTTCTTGTATAGTTACTGATTAGTAAGGTCATCTATCGACGATAGTTATACCACCACATCAGATCACAGCATGATTGTATTTATTCGTTCGTTTTTTTTCTTCTATCTTATTAATCTTTTCATGCATATATCGTTTTTTACTATTTTATGATAGTCATAAATAATTGAAGCATTAATTGATTATGATTGACATATTTTCTATCCTATTATTCAACAGTTTTTTTTTTGCTTTAGATCTTTACCATAAATGGATAATGATATGAGAGATTCCGAAGATGTTGAGATGATTGATATTAATGGATCAATGTCAAAAGAAAATAATGCACCTATTCATACAAAAGAACTTGATGTTGTTTCAAAATCAACAGTAACAAAACATACACCTTGGCTTGAAAAATATCGTCCAACTAAACTCGATGATATTGTTGGCAATGAAGAAGCAGTATCACGTCTTGCTCATTTTGCTCAACAAGGAAATTTACCTAACATTATTATTTCAGGTCCACCTGGATGTGGAAAAGTTTGTTTTGTCTTATTTTACCTCTTGTTATTTTAACAAACATTGAATAAATTTTATCTAGACAACAAGTGTTCTATGTCTTGCAAGGCAAATGTTAGGTGATGCTTTTCGTGAAGCTGTGCTTGAAATGAATGCATCTAATGATCGTGGTATTGATGTTGTTCGAACAAAAATAAAAATGTTTGCACAATCAAAAGTATCTTTGCCAAAGGGACGACATAAAATAATTATTCTTGATGAAGCTGATAGGTAAATGAAATATTTTATCATGACTATTTGTTATTGCGTTGTTGTTGTTTTAGTATGACAGAAGGAGCTCAACAAGCATTACGTCGAACGATGGAATTATATTCTAAAACAACTCGATTTGCACTTGCATGTAATGCTTCAGATAAAATTATTGGTATACCTCGTTTTGTCTTTTTACTTAATTTAAATATAAATTATCTTCTTATTTAAGAACCAATTCAATCTCGATGTGCGATGTTACGATATTCAAAATTAAATGATGAACAATTACTAAAACGTTTAATTCAAATAGCTAAAGCTGAACACGTTTCATTTACATCTGAAGGTCTTGAAGCAATTATTTTTACAGCACAAGGAGATATGCGACAAGTAAAATTATATTATTCTTTATTTTTGTCTTATTGAAACAAGATTATAGGCTATTAATAATCTCCAATCAACTGTATTCGGTTTCGGTCATGTAAATAGTGAGAATGTATTTAAAGTATGTGATGAACCACACCCAATTCTAATTCGTGATATGATTGAAAAATGTGTTAAAAGTGATCTTGATGAAGCATATAAAGCAATGAATCATCTTTGGCGATTAGGTAAATTATACATACATATATATATATATGAATTATTGTTTATTGAAATAGGTTATACAGCTGAAGATATTCTTTCTGTGATAATGCGTGTAACTAAAACATATCCAATGAGTGAATTTATGCAACTTGAATTTATTCGAGTATAAGAAATAAAAATTATCTTTTTCTTTATTTAAATGTTAATGTTAAAATTTTGTTTGATTTAAGGAAATTGGTTTGACATATATGCGTGTTAGTCAAGGTGTTGAATCCCAATTACAATTATCATCATTACTTGCTAGATTATGTGAACGAGCTAATTCAAATACTCATAAATCAGATTGATGATTTTTTTTTCTCTCGCTCTCTCTTTCTTTCTTGTAATAATAATTGTCTTTAGAAGATCAAATGATTTATTTTTTCTGTGTTTATTTTCATGATGATATATAAAAAAGAAAACTTCAGATAAACTCTATTGTAGATATTATGGATGCATCAGGAAAAACAGATTACTGGCATCAACAAGATGTTAATCAAACAACTAAATCACATTTAAAAGTAAATATTTTTATTTTTCTTATTTAAATTATTTATTTTGCTATTTTAGCTACCGGTTAATTCTCAAGTAACATCTCATTATGATGGAGGTATATATGAAAAAAGAACTTTTTTTCTTTAAAATATTTTATTAATTTTTTAAAAATAAATTTTTAGCTGTTCATTATTACGATGAAATCAATGGTAATAATAATCCATTAAAACGTAGTTATTCAGGATCAGATCAATTAGCTTCACCATTTAAAAAACGTCAATTTATTCAACAAATTATACCACAACCAACGGTACAAGCTCAATCATCATCAGTTGATCATTCTGGTTTGTTAAATATTAGAATTAAAAACTTAGACCTTTGAAATATTATTATAATACAGATGACGATGATGATGATGATGATGATGAAGGTGATTCAATGACTATGAATATTTCAAGTGGTGTTATAGAAAAAAATTTAGGAACAAAACGAGATGATAGTCGAAGACGAGCTGCTCATACTGCTGCAGAACAAAAACGTCGAAATGCTATTCGAGTAATTTAAAATAAAAATATTAAGCCAGATTTGTTTTTTTCAAATTTTATTTATTAGAAAGGATATGATGCTTTACAAAGTCTTGTACCTAATAGTCATTTACTTGATCCAATAAGTTCACAAAAAGTTAGTAAAGCAGCCATACTTAAACGATGTAAGTTAAAAAAGAAAATATTTTCTAGGAAAAATATTTCATTTTTTTAATCGTTTAGCTACTGATTATCTTATTCAATTAACTAAAGAACAACAACAATTAAATAGTCAATTAGAAGCGAAAAAAAAAGAAATATTTTGTTTACGTGCAGTTCAAAAGTTTGTTTGTTTTTTTGTTTGTATATTATTATTTAATATTTGTTTCTTTTTCTGTGAAAAATAGAACGTATGAAGATATTCTTGAAATGAATATGAATTCAATGAAAAATGCTACTAAAACAATTGATGATGAACATAAATTTAAAGTGGTATGTTTAATTTAAATGCTTAAATTTTGGAAAAAAAAAACAAACTTTATTTGGTTTTTATTCTAGTTTCAAAATATTGCTGATGCTATTTTTCTGAGTTTTGATCAAGCAATGCAATCAGGACAAATAACAGATTTTTCTCAATTTGCATCAACTATTCTTCGTTGGATTGAAGATTCATGTCGACCATCGGTAAAAGATAAAATATTCATTTATAAAATGTAAAAACTAATTGTTTTTGTTTAGGATATTACGGATCTTATTCGTCGAGTTATTGGAAATTAAATAATCTTGATCTCTAGTTCGTCATATTTCGTCTTTTATGTTTGATGATCACGTTTTTTTTATGTATATTTTTGTATTTATTACGTTTTCTCTTTGTTCATATTGCTCGTTCATTCTTGTTCATTCATGAAATTTATGTTTTCTAGAAAAAAAGAATGTCGGCAAAAATGCGTCGATATAATTTTATTAAAGTACTTGGTGAAGGACAGGTAGAAATGAAATAAATAAATACAAAAAAAAATAAGAATAATAAAAAGTCATTGTTTTGATTAGTATGCTGTTGTATATAAAGCAAAAGATACACGAACAAACGATGATGTTGCAGTAAAAAAAATTAAAATTGGTAGTCGACAAGAAGCATCTGATGGAATTAATTTAACAGCTTTAAGAGAAATTAAATTTCTTCAAGAGGTTAAACATCCAAATGTTATTGAAGTATTTAAGTGGTTTTTCTTTTGAATTTGTTTATTTATAAACTTTTTTTTATCTTAAGTTACTTGATTCATTTGGAGAATATGGTTCAAACAGTCCAAGTATTTGTTTAGTATTTGAATTTATGAACACTGATCTTGAAGTAAAGTAGTTCTAATTTTATTTTGAATATTAAAAAAAAACAAGAAAAAGTTTTTTATTTTTATAGAATATTATTAATAATAGAAATATTCTGTTAACAACAACACATACAAAATCATATATGATTATGTTATTACTTGGCCTTGAATATCTTCATAATAATTGGATACTTCATCGAGTTAGTACAGATATTTGCTAATAAAATATTTTTGAACTGTTGAAATTAAAGCAAATTTTGAGCTCAATATTGATTTTTTTATCGAACAAAGCATATGACCTAGACTAAAGTATAAATGAAATTACAACAAGGAAAATATAGCAAATAAATGAGTGGCATTCTATGATGTTTTCTCTGTTAGCAATATTTGTTTTCATAGTCTCTGGAAAAGGCTACGCATGCTCTTCAGAATGTCAAGAACTAAAAGGTGAAATTTAAGATAAGATCTAAATGAACTTAAAGCTTGATTTTTACCAAAAATATCAATTACACGGGTCGCAACAATTGTAAAGGAAAACAAAATCCGGATAAGAGCATTGATTGTAGCGACCTATGGATTTTGGAAAAGTAGACATTCTTCTGAATATAATGAAGAGTTATCAATTGCTTTAGACTTATTTTACGAACGTATTGAGTATTAAAAGAAACAAAAAAATAGATTCATACTTGACTAAAAATCTAGCAAAGCCGATTTTTGTTTTAATTTCTTACGTGTTAGTATTCTGAAATGGTTTCCTAAACTACGTTGAGGGTAGCTCCTTTCTTTTTTTGGCCTTTTCTGCTTCTCAAAGATCGTACAATCGATCAAGCTTAGATTTTTACCACAAGTATAACATTAAAAATAAGTAGACACGTGTTCGAGGAAAAAATTTTGGAGTAAATTATTTCTATGAAATTCTAGTTTTCGAGAGGGCCGCATCCTAGTTGCATACCATCCACATCTAGTTTTGTTCAATGGAGCTGAAATATTTACTAATAATACTTCACAGTATTTTCCAGAGGTAAAAACCGACTGTTTTTCGTTTTTTGGCTTTTCCATCCAGATTTACAGAATCCTGAAAAGCCAAGACCCTAGTTTTGACGTCGAACGTTGACGTGTTTTAAAGAAAAAACGAAAGTGAGAGTTTTGAAAAAGGTTAAGATTGCTTTTGAGAGTTTAGTGGTAAATATTATCAAAAAAGTTTTCAGTCCGATCGAATAAAGTTCGATGGAGTTTATAAGCCAACAAAATGTTGTCCCTATCGTAAATCGGAGTTTCCCAGGAGAAGTCAATTTCAATATTTTTTCCTCGAACACATGTTTTCTTATTTTTGGTTCGCTATCTGCGGTAAAAATATCGATTATACCATATTCGAGAACCAGAAACAGTCAAAGAGAAAGAGAATCAAGTAGCTTTAATTGTAGAATTTTCTAGATTATCGAAATCATTAATTCGACTTGATATTATTGAAAAAAAACAACTTTCAAAATTATTTTATCATTCTAATTTAGGATTTGAAACCAAACAATTTATTAATTGATAAACGTGGTGTTTTAAAAATAGCTGATTTTGGTTTAGCAAAATTTTTTGGTTCACCATCAAGATTAATGTCACATGAAGTTGTGACAAGGTAAAAAAATATAATATTAAGAAAATATCATTCTATTGATATCGCCGCATATATATTTTAGATGGTATCGATCACCTGAATTACTTTTTGGTGCAAAAAAATATGGTACTGCTGTAGATATATGGGCAGCTGGTTTAATCATGGCTGAACTACTTCTTCGAGTACATATTTGTCTATTAATATTGACTAAAGATAAATTTTTAATTGTTAGGTACCATTATTACCCGGTGATTCAGATCTTGGTCAATTATTGAAAATATTTGAAGTATTTGGAACACCGACCGATAGTAATTGGCCAGTAAATTAAATCAATATTTGTCTGTTTGTTTTGTTGTTCATTATGATATTTTAATATAAATAGGATGTAAAAACATTCTCAGATTATATTGAATTCAAACAAACGGAACCAAAACCACTACGAACTATATTTACAACATCAAAACAAGATGAACTTGATGTATTAGAACGAATTATGCAACTCGATCCAAAACGACGACCAAATGCAAGCGAAGTAAATAAATTTATAATAAAAAACAAAACAAAGAAGAATTCTATTAAATATTATTTTCTTTTGTATTGAATAGACTCTTCAAATGGAATATTTTAGTAATCCACCAGCTCCATGTCCAAGTGAACGTTTACCTAAACCAAAAGAAGTTCAACAAACTGAACATAACAAACGTAAATTAGGAAATGATGAAAAAGGTTCGTTTGAAATTTTGATATTTTTTCTTTTTACATATTATTTTCTTTTGTCTTTTTTAGTTACTGTGAAAAAAGAAAGACCATAGATACTGCATCATATGATATTTTTTTCCATTTCAATATGAATATTATTTTATAAATAAAAATGTAACTACTATATGCAAGATTTCACTTTAGAACTTAACAAATAATTGAACGAATTGATATTAGATGAAAGATAAAATATCTTTTATAAAAATTATAAACATAAAATAATGGTCGTAATTGTCACAGTTATATTCATATAACTTGCAATTGATATAGTATTATTCTTTCATTTTTTTAAAGACAAGAATCTTATAATGATGGCATAATATAGAATTATTGATTGCTGTTGCTGCAATATTATAATTCTATACTAAAAAAAAAATATTTTCTAGTATTCTTATCAAATTTCACATAAGTATTAAAAAAAACTGTCAAACATTTAGATACTTTTTACGTTGTCTATGACTAGCGAGGAAACATTCCCAAGTGTTGTCGACTCAGTTTTCAATTCGAATTTTATGCATCTTATAGATCTTAGTGAACTATGTTTTATACATAAAGAGAATTCGTACCTATGGCCTATTACTGAAGAGATCGAACATTTTAGTGAATTTTCATTATAGGATCTCACTTTTGCAGCAAGACCATATTTTCGAATTTCGACCTGAAATTTGGCCCACATAAAGACTTGAATAAGACTAGTTTGCATAAAAAATTTCAAAATAACTTTCTCCAAGGTATGAGGCTTTCAAAAACTACGTACTATCTACAAAACAAAAAAAGGTTTATATCTTGAAAGTTTCATGTCTCTTACGGACTTAGTCCAAAAATTCTGAAAACCTTTTTAATGCAAATAAGTCTAATGGAAGATTTTTATATGGGTAAAATTTCAGATGGAAACTTAAAAATAGCATTTAGCAACAATATTGATATTCTACAAAGGAAATTCACTAAAAACATTCGTTTTCCTCAGAAATAGGCTATAAGTATAAATTCTTTTTATAGTAGAAAAAAACTTTCATTACATAATGAAATTTGATTTCTAGAATATGGTTGTCGAATAATTTATTTACATCTGTATATACTCATATACTGACTTATTAGAAATATTGACAAGAGTCTATATATTTTTCTAGTTCGACAGTAATAATCTTTTGAAAAAGATTTTTCAATAACAAACAATTAGAATATATGATAGTTTGAACTTACGATTAATCCTAGTTGTTGCAATTTGCACTTATTGATCATAAATTTCTATACAATTTAAAAAAGATGGATTTCTCAAATGATTGAATGTAAAGTAAAGATCTACAATCAATACTATACAAAAATAAATAATCTTGAATGATTACAACATAACTACAATACAACAATATTGACAAATGAAAGATATTCACGCTCGATATACATTTCTTCTTACTACAGTAGTAGTTTGATTGTCGGATACAACCAATCATGTGTCATATTCATAATAGATCTATCAATAACAATAATTATCGATTAGTTTTGGTTTTCTAAAATATGACCCGTCTTTAACGAGAATTAATTATAAAATATCTTCACGAATAAACGAGAAAATCTGTTCATAATCTCAAATAATAATATTTTGTTGAACTATTTCATAGCTAAAGTAGTTAATAATATAAGGTTAATTATTCTCATCATGATACATTAGATATAACTTTTTACGCTTTTCAATAATATTTTCATCAAATGAGATTAATAAATAAATTTGAGGATCTCTCAATAAAACTAATCTTCTTTTTAATAGAATTTATTTATTTATTAATGATAAATATTATCATGAATATTCTTTTTAATCTGCTTCTACATTTATTTCAAAATAGCATTCATTTAATATAGGCTTTACAATAGAAATAATTAGAAATTATCCTCAAAATACTTAATTTGTCAATTATATCCATTTTATTCCAGAATAGTTCTAATTTTTATTAAACATCAAACAAGAACTTTCTATTAATTGCAGGTCATCTTAACCGGTACTTTTTTATTAGTTTCTTATAGTAGATTTATATTTTATCTATAGAAATCCATTAATTTAGACTATGACATCTTCTAATTGTCACGTACTCGTAGGCACATGCTAAACAGATCTTAAAAAAGAATCCGATGAAGTATTGAATTTATCAGTAAGAAAAAAAACAAAACAAAAAAAAAACGTTATTTTACAATGTCAGCATGTTTCCATTGTTGTGGCTCTTCCATTTTATATTAAAAAAATTCTTGTGTCGTTTTTACGATAAAATCAAGCTAGTGTGTCTTTGCTTTGTCGGAAACAAGTAAGACTCTTTTTAGAGTATTTCCCCCGCATGCCCGAGTTACATACATCAGAGAGAAATGCTTCTTTTTATCTAACGAGAGAAAGTAAAATATTTAAGAATCATTTAGGAAAGCCATAACCTTAGAGAACAAGTGAAATTTGAATGTGTTCTCAATTCAACCATTCACATATAAGTTTGATTGTTATTTAAGCTATGTTAAACTTTTTTACCTAAAAGAAATAACTTACTAAACTCAAATTATGTTTCAAATCTAAAGATAATAGAATAATCATTTTAGTATCAAAATCAATAAAATCCATGTTGATGAAACGATCGAATATATTGTAAACTTGATTCTAAAGTATTGATATTATACAACTTAATATAAAGCAATTATTAATCTATGCACCGAATGTTCGAAAAGACGTGTTATCTTTTGATAATCTATTTAAATTATTTCTTTGTTATGAATGTTACAGACATTTCATTAGAGTTTATTGACATAATCTTCTCTAATCTTGAATATTATTTTTAATAATAACCAAATAACAGAAAATAAATTCTTACATTTCCAACATGTCATATTCTTTTATAGATTATTAATAACAGAAATTAACTTTAGTTTGAAATGATAGCGTGACTCTTATTAGAACTGATAGAAGAAAAAACACACAGTTTCATATTCTGGAGTAATCGCATTATAGTATAATGTAGCTATTTCTAGATAAAATTCTTCTGTGAATTTTAAAGCAGTTCTACACTATAAATTCATCTCATATATATTTCATTGTCTTAGCTGAAAAAATTTAATATAACCAAATTAACAATGAAACGACATTCATTTGTGTTCATTTCGTATGAATGCGTAACTCTTGTCGAATACGTTCAGATAATATAAGAATGATAATGATTGGTTTGAGTTTAGGTAGCATCTACAAATGTATCCTTGATAGCTGTATGTATTTCGTATGACATCGGTAGATTTACGAACAGAAACTATATGTAGAGGTATTCTGATGTCCACAGGATAGAGGAGCGATGACTCATGAGACCGGTTAAAATATTTTTGCTAAAATTGATTAGAATCGAGGGAGTTATCGAACGAGTTTTTGACAATTAAAGAGCAAAAAAAAAAAACAATAAACGCTGAAGCTTCGTTGGGGAAAATCGAAAATTTCTTATGATTAGGAGATAAATTCGTTGTTGATCGGGACACTCCTGATTATATGAAACATTACAGTTACCAAGCGGAAAAAATTTTGCCTACAATTTACTTTTTGTTAGAAAAAAAGAAAAAAAACGTATGAGTAATATACTTGGTCAGAATAAATCAACAAAAATATTTATTCTTTTCATTCTCAATTGGTTTCATCATAATATTACGTCTTTTTTTATGTAAGAAAGAAAAATGCAATTTTATCATGAACACCTGAATTGGGAACACATTCAAATTTGACTCGTCCCCTAAAGTTATGGTTATTCTAAATGATTTTTCAATTAACTTTATAATAATTGATGTAGAATATTTTGCTCTCGGTCATAAAATAAAAAAAGATGATTCTCTCCACAATGTATGTAATTCAAATTATAAAATGAAATACCCTAAAATACTTCTGACACCCTAACTCTCCTTAAAACCAACTTTTTAAGATAATTTCCATTAACCTATGACAAAAACAAAAGATCATTTTCAAAGTATTCATAGGTATTGAATGAAAAAAAACTACGATAATCTAATTGAAAACTGCAATTTTTATTTATTTCTCTTTGTTTATCTTTTGAAACAAACATGCACTGTACAAAAAAAAAAAAAAAAAAAAGAAAAGAGCAAGAAATTCTGTCATAAATGTTATTGTTGACCATTATTTCCCGTTGTTCGTGCACTATGCTCTTGAGCTTTAGCACGAAGTGCAGCAATACTTTCACTTCTCATTGCTTCTGTTACATCCATATGTATCGATCCAGATAATGATCGTGGTGATTTTCTTGAATGTGTACTACTACAATCATCATCATCATCATCGTCATCTTCATTTTCATTTGTACCTTCTCCATCTTCTTCATCATCATCTTTAACCATTTTTTTTAATTGTTCAGCTGCTTCCAAGGATTTTCTATGCATACCAAGAAGCCATGGAGCACATGATGAATCAATACCATCTTTAGCTGATTTAACAATTGTTTCAGGCAATGGAAGTGAATGACGAACCATAGCTCCATACAATCCATATTCAGCCATGACTGTCGCTTTACCCCAGGTTTTTTCTGTCTTACGCCACTGAAAAAAAAATTATTTATCAAAAATAAAAAAAAACAAAAGAATTTTTCGATATTAACAACTTACTTTAGCTCGACGATTTTGAAACCAAACCTAAAATACAAACGATCGATTTAGTAAAATAAATGAAACAAAAAAAAAAGAAGATTTTAGTCTATAAATAACCATTTCCATTATCACGTTGTCAACTAGACAAAGAAAAGATCAATATGCGTGTGATAATATTCATTGAAAGTAACTTCATGTGCGAGAAAAAACTCATCGTTGAGAATGGATAAATTGCTCACACGTTCGTTTTGTATATAGAAAAGAGAAAATGACGTAACGAATACAAACTAAATGAGCAATTAGTTGACATGCTGAAATCTTTCTTTCGCATTGACACCCCATCATCCTTCGATAAGAATGGTCAAGGTTGTCAAAAAAAAAAGAGAAAGGATATGATCCAATCGGGCACACGTGCTATTAGAGTTTTTCCACCAATCGATGTGAAAATGCTCATTAGAACATGGCGTTGAGACATCACGCTGAGCGACTATTTATCCTGTCGATGTAGAATAATAAATATAGACCAACGAAGGAGGAGAGAAACATGTACAAGACTGGTGCATGTAAGCTTAGAAATAAGAGACATACACGCACGCCGTGCGTTAATGATGATGAGAACCGAGAGAATTAATTAACCCATTCACAATTGACAATACATAAAAATTTCTCTCCGCCCACCTCTATCAATTGATCGATAGAGAAAACAAAAATTTAAGTTTTTTTTTTTTTTTTTTTTGTCTGTGATTTATTATATAAAAAACATCTAACAAACCTGAATTCGATCTTCAGGAAGATCAGTTTTAACTGCAAGTAATTCGCGTGCTGATACATCCGGATAATGAGCATCTTTAAATGCTTTTTCTAGTTCTTCTACTTGATGACTAGTAAATATAGTTCTAAATGAAAATAAAACTAAAATATTCAATTAAAAATGATTTTTAATTTACCGATGTCTTCGTTTACATTTTTTCTTTTTACCAGAACCATTATTATTAGTACTATTTGTGCCATTTGCATTTAATTTTTCATTACTACCACAACCATCACTGCCACTTCCAGTAGTACTACCAATAAGAATATCTCGATCTAAACACAAAAAAAGAAAAAAAAAGATCAGAGACAAGAATGTTTATCTTTAAAGTGTTTTGATAATCATATTTTGTTGATTGATCGAATAAGAATCTTATCCGTCAAGTGTTGTTTAAATAAGAAGGCAACATTGTACATAAGCACTGTCGATTTTTATCATCTTCAAACGATGCTAAAACAAAAATTTTCTTTATCATTTTAAAAAAAATTTTACCTAAATTATCTTGTAATGAATCTAATGTTGTATTTGTATTATGCGAATTTGTTGGAGAAAATTGTTGAAGAAAATTTGTATGTGGATGTGGAACATCACTATTTATAAATGATCCTGTTGAATGATGTTGAGGATGCGAATGAGGATGTGAATGATATGGAGATGAAAATAAACTTGATCGAGATAAATAAGCTGTATATGCTTGATGATCAGCATAAGCACGAGCTGCTGCAAGATCTGTTGATGTAAGACCGAGAATTTCTTGAATTGCAAATGCTGTTGTTCGACTTGCTGATGGTATTTGTTGAGGATAATGATGATGATGACGCATTTGTTGTTGTTGATGAGTTAAATTCATGATACGATGTTGAAAAAGAAGTCAATCAACTGATTATTAGGTTGTTAACATACATGAGAAAGAAAAGAAAAAAAAGAGAAAGAAAAGAGAGAGAGAGACAAAGAGAGAAAGAGAAACTAATTTGTTGATAATTGGGCGAACAAGAGAATTGTTCGAATCTGTTTTTTTCTTTTTCTTCCTTTTTTCTTTGACTAACAACTAACTAAGCCAATCAGAACATGTCTATAAAACGACCGAAAGAGAAAGAAGGAATTGGCTCAACAAGCCTGATATTTTCATCAATGGGCCAATCATAATGCGGATGACAAGAGAAAAGAAGAAGAAAAAAAGAAAAGAAAAAGAAAAGAGATTTCTTTTCTGATTCTGTATATAGTTGGTTTTATAGTAATTTGCACCCAATTATCCTAGATGTTATCCTTAGTATCCTACATTCTTTTTCTTTATAAAGCAAAAAAAGAAAAATGCGGAAACAAAAGAGCAAAACTACCCGTTTTTTTTTCTTTTCTATGTCATGGCTTGATCTCATATTTCCAATTTGCAATAGTATTTGTAAAAAAGAAAAATATTGTATAGAAAAAGGCAAATCTATAATTGATTGATTGACTTTTGTGAATACAAGAAACAAAGAAAATAATGTGTGGACACAACAGTGCTATTTTATCATCATTAGATCATATCGGATTTATCTGATGGCATGATCAATAAATTTATTGGATCTTATCATTTTATAATTGTTTTTCTTTTCTTTTCTTTTTACTATATTTTGATAACAAAAGAATTTTGTTTTTTACATCAAGCATGGTAATAAACAAAAAACAAAACAGTTCAATTGTGTTTACAGGCGATTGGAACAATTAGTGAAAAAGAGTCTTTAGAGAAATACTTGTTGGTATTATACGTGCTATTTTCATTAAAATATTATTAGTGACAAAGCCGGAAAAACTTGTAGAAAAGGGTTTACTCACATTTTGAAATTGTAAACGAAGTATATTCTTCTTTTACAGCATAGGAACATTATATTTCTGGAGGAGAGGGAGAGAGTGCTGAGTCCCCTTCAATTACCTTCTGACTCTGCCACTAAATACTATGTTTTTTTTATTTCAGTCACTGAAATAAACAATTTTATTGAAACAAAGATCTCTATCCTTTAAACATTGAAGGAAAATAATAAATTCAAATTTAAAGATTTTGTTTATTAAATGATATTTTTCTTGACAAACAAATCTGACAAATAATAACATTTCCAGTTCAATAGATTTATAATTTCTAAATAATAATTATTTCGATTGCTTACAATTGATTGTCAAATAAGCTTCGATTATCAAACAGCATGTTTTAATTTGTTCTCTCTTCTAAAATCAAGATGGCAGTAAGAATATAAAAAAAAGATTCCTTTTCTTTTTTTTTTTTTGAGGAATCTCACACCCATTTTACAGTCATCATCATTGTCAAGTAGTTAAATGCGTAAATGACGATGGTGTCATGCCTAGTGTGCTCGCGCCTATCCATCTCAACGACTTAATTACACTGACTAGCGCATCATTGTTCGCAGGTATTATGCTATTCGTTTCTCTAGTCTTACACCTTGGTATAATTTGCATGAATGATTGATTGTCTTAAAATATCATACAAAAGAAAAAGGTTACAACAAATTATTTTTAATTTTAAAGAAAAGACATAAAACTGTTCGAAAAAAAATTAACAAAGCCAATTTTGATGTTGTTAAAAAAAAAGAAGGATGATCAAATAAAATAGCATTTAATGAGAAACAATAGACATTGAAGAAACAGTTGGATGTACATCACTTTTATCTTTGCCGATACAATGTCAGTATTAGAAACTAGTAGTTGTATCCATAATTAAGATGAGAGATAATGACGAACATTTCACTTAATGCTACTCGTGCATGATCAATCAACATTGAAATCATGTATCTTTTTTCTTTTTTTTTTTTTAAGAAATTTTCAAATGAGAAAACTAATATAAATAATATAGAAATTTTTGTTTTTTACTTTTAAAAATATTAATGAAATAAATAATCGACAAAATTTTCTTTTTTTATCAAATAACACAACTCAATATATTTTATCATGATGTGATCGATCGATATAAGATAATAAATCAATGATGTTGTTTTTTCTTGTTCTTGTTCTTGTATGATTAGTCTAACTGAACTCTTTTTTTTTTATTATTTATTTCGATCTTTGAATGTTTAGAAAACATGTATTGCATATGTTAATTGTGTTGAGATATGAAACCTGATCACCTGAACATTCATACACTTTTTCTTTTTCTATACTCGTCATCAACAATTAATTGAGCACATCTTTTTCCTTGTATTTAGACAAGTGTAGGTGGTGCACTAAAAAATTGATTAATGCTTCAATAGTTCGCTCTTCTTTCCTCATTTATCCATGTGTGTATATATATTATTGAGCTTGCTCGATTTTCCTTCCCTCTAATTGAATCATCTTTTCTTCCCTCCCATTGCTTATCACAATAGACGCGTAATCGGTTGGGGGTTGCCTTCCCTCCCGTTATAGGCTTCCATCATCTTGTAAACTATCAGGTAGTATTGTTCATATAGGCATAGATTTTTTTTTCTTTCGTCTCTATTGCCTCTAGCTTTTCTTGCTATTTGACAGTAGATCAAGTTCCGCCCTCGCATTATTGGGAAAAAAAGCACTTAGTTCGACCGATTGGTTTTGTGACATATTTGCGTGCAAACCATATTCGACGTTCGATTACGATCAAAAATAATCTCCCACGAGAAACGACAGTCTAATCAGATTTTCTTCTATTTCTTACTCTTTACATTTCCAAGCGTGTATGTATGTGTGTGTGTGTGTGTGATAAAATGAGGAACGAATGAACAAGCAATTAATTTACTGGTATGTTGTTAGCACAGTTCTACTATTGTTACTTATATATTTGGGTTGAACAGAAAAAAGAAAGAAAAAGAAAAAAAGGTGGAAAAAAACATGATCGATAGTGAACATGCAACCAGCTTCAAAGTTATGAATGATTAAATGATAACTATTATTCGTCTTGAATATCACCTAAGACAGCTATTGCTTCAATTTCAACTTTTGCATTCTAAAGAAAATTAAAAATAAATAAATACGATGATAGTAGAATTTTGATTTACTCTTGGAAGACCAGCAACTTGAACTGTTGATCGAGCTGGATGACGATCTGTAAAGACTAAACAAAAAATAAATAGAAAAATTAATTATGTGTTTATATGAATAAATTTAGAATTATTACCTTCAGAATAAACTTCATTCATTGCAGCAAAATCATTCATATCTTGAAGAAAGACATTTGTTTTCACAACTAAAAACAAATATGATTTCTATTATTTTATTTTATTATTTTTTCTATTAACAAACCATTTCTATATGAAGCACCTGCTGCTTTAAGAACTTCACCTAGGTTTTTTAATGACTATAATCAAAATAATGAAGAGCAAACATCTATTATATATTATAAATCTACCTGGCGAGCTTGGTCTTGTACACCATCACCAGCAAATTGACCAGTTTTAGGATCAAGCCCAAGTGCTCCACTCATATATAATGTTTGACCAACTTGAACAGCTTGACTAAAATAGATATTGTTGCAAATTTATGACTATTCTCATCAAGATTTGTTCTTTACCTATACGGTCCACTTGAAGGTCCGGCTGCAGCTGTTTTAATAATACGACGAACTAGTTGAGACGATGACATTTGATGATACCAAAAAGAAAAAAGAAATAAGAATCTAAAAGCTATATGCACACAACACGAAGTAGGGTATAAGTAGAATAAAATAAGAAAAACGAAACGTTTTTGTTTTATTTTGAAAGAAATGATAAGACCAAAAACGATAAAGAAAAGAAAAAGAGTAGGACATTGATGTAACTCATCTATGCTTTTTTCAATCATAGTCATGACCTTGAACGATTAGCTTTAACCTGTGTATAGGGGCAAAAAAATTTTTTTATCTAATCCCAATTAATACAACAAGTGTTTGCCTAGAATAGACAATATTTATGAAATGCTTATTAATGCATACTGAATATGATTTTACATATTTTCTGTTCACAAGAAAAAACCGGTTTCTTTAATATATTTGTTAGGAAAAAAAATATGAGAAAATAAAATATCGTTAATACACAAAAATGTACTTCTACAGAATATGCATTATTCTTATGCATAGTAATTGAATTGTATGGATAATTGTATAGCAAATGTACTGTTATCCAATTGAGAGCAGTATATATTCTATAGAAGTATCAAGCAAACAAATGATTATTATTATTCTTTTAAGCAAGTTTTTATATAGCATTTGAGTTAAATAAATTCAAGCCAAGATGATTCATTAATATAATCAAATGATTTTAATCGTTCATTTTCAGCTGATGTACATGTTGATTTTCCAGCAGCTATCCAACTATCTTTAGCTTCACCTCCTCTATCTAATGATAAAGTTGCAAGTGGTTGATGAAACGATGTATCAGATAAAACACGCATGTCCTATACGAAAAATAAGAATACTTTTCTTCGAAAAAATTGTTTTATATTTCTTTGTTTTTATTTTACTGTTGCATTTTTATGACCAGATTTAAATACATCTTCATCAATTTCTGCCCAGTTAATTCGATGACCAACTTTAAAAAATGCATGATCACGTATTAAACCATGTGGTGAATTAGGTAAACCTAAACGTTTTTCAGGATCATTTTCAAGTAAACCAATAACACATGAATGAGCTTCAGAGCTTATACAACGAGGTAATTCTAAATAGTCCATTATAGTTTTTGATTCACTTGTGTCTTCATTATCATTTGAAAACATTTGAGGATAAAAATCGAGTTGTTCACCACATAACATTTGTACAAACATAATTCCAAGTCCCCAAAAATCAACTGCATAATTATAACCTTCACCTGATAGACCTCTTTCTAAACGTCGAACCTATAAAACATCATTTGATAACTTCTTTTGTTGTTTTGAAAAATTTTACAAAGATTTTACTTCAGGAGCCATGTAACTATATGTACCACAAAAAGTATGACACATTTCACCAGGAGTTTTTAATAATCGTCCAAGTCCATAATCAACAAGACGCATAGAACCCGTTGAAGACACAATTGCATGTTCAAGTTTTAAATCACTGAGCAATTTCAACAGAAAATTTAGAAAGAAAAAAATTTATTTTTCTGAAAATTACCGATAAACAATTTTATTTGAATGTAAATATTGTATAACACAAACAAGTTGTGCTAAATAATATCTTATTTCATCTTCATTCATTCGGGTTGTTTGAATTTTATGATATAAAGTTCCACCTCGAACAAGTTCCATAACAAGAAATAATTTATTCTGAAATTAAAAATAAAAAAATTCATTTCATCTTTTTCTTTTAAATAAAAATAAATTGAAATTTACTCCTTGATGAAATGCACAATAAGCTTTAATCATATAAGGATTTCCATCACTATAACGAAATAAAATTTGTTTTTCAACTTCTAATTGTTGTCGTGCTTGTTCATTTGCTCCATCAGCTACTTTAATAGCAAAATATTGTTTTGATAAAATATGTTGAACACAATAGACTTGAGCAAAGGCACCATCACCAAGACGACCAATATATTTAAAATCATTAAAGTTTGGTAAAGATATTCTTTGTGGATTTTTTATGGGAAATTCTGGTAATGAATCAAGCCAAGATAAATCAAATGATGATGATTTTGAATATTGATCATTATCTTTTTTATGGTTTGGATCATGAATACCTACATTTATATGTATTTGTTTTTTTTTCTCCACTATCATTTTTGCTAATGCATCATATGAAATTGTACACATTAGTGGAATATTTGATTGACAATGTTCATGAATTATAAAATAACACTCTAAATAAAAACAAAATAATATTTTTTTTAATTTTTTGTTTTTTTTTAAAATAAAAAAATGAAGCAATTAATCAGTATTTCTATTAATTTAATTTAAGACGAGCTATATATATATATATAATCATTTTCATTTTTTATAAGTACTAGTTAGTAGTTAAAGCATAATACTGAAAAGTTATGCTTTTCTTTATCTTACGTGAACATTTGAGAGCATTTCGAAATATTTGTGCACCGCAATGATTACAATAACCATGATTACGAGTAACTAAAGCTCGAACAAATGGTGCTTCATATCGTTTGAATGTATGTGGAATATGAAATTTTAATCGAAGATTTTCATCTAATCGAATAGGTTCCTTATTTTGTATTAATAAAAATTTATTTATTTTATTTTAGTTTTATATAAAAAGAAAAAAAAACAGACAGAAAATAAATAATACATACTGAAAATAATGACTTTTGACACCAAAATGGAGTATTTTGATGACATCTTCTATGTGTCACAAGAGAACATTGTAAACATTCAAAACCTTGATAATGTAAACCCCTGGGAAAAAAAAGAAAATTGATTATAAAATAAGAAAAATAAAATACCAAATAAATCCATCACATAAAGCACAATGAACTGGATGATTAAATTGTTTTAATTTCATTAAATGACCTCGAACTGGTTGTCGACTTGACATTTTATTATAATGATTTTGTTTTTTTGAAGAAAGTGCTAAGTAGAAAAGAAAATTTCTTTCAACAAAGAAACAAAATAAACTTAAGAATATTCAATTTACAGGATTTTAAAGCTATTGAATTTTCGATTAGTTGTAGACTAAATTCCAAATGATATTCTCCATCAAGAACCATCTAAATATAAACGAAGAATAAAAAAAGAATTTTTGTTTTAGAGAATCAAAGAATATTTCTTACACTACAAGATAAATCTGATTGAACTTTTCCATCATATCTACGATCAGTAATAAGTTCTAATAAATGATCGAACCATAAAATCGTATCAGCTATGATTTTTGATTTTTGTGTTAAACAAATAATTTGACAATAATTTCCATGATTTCTATTCCAATCGAATGTTTCATTTATAGAAATAACAAATGTTGTTGTTAGACCAGATGGTTCAAGTATAACGGTGTTATCTATTTATACAAATGAGTTTATTAAATAATAAAAAAATGAAAATGAAAAAGAAATATTTCTTTTTTCTAATATATAATTTTAATTTTTAAAAATTCTAATCAATAAGAAAAAGATAATTTTTTCAAAAAACAAAACTCATTTCAAATGTTCCAAATCTATTCTAATTGTTAATATAAGCAATAGTATCAAACAATATTTTACCATTATTCGATGGCAATTCAAGTAATTTTTTAATATAAAATAATGATTTATTCAAATTTTGCTTATCAGAATGTTTAAATGAGACGATTCTTATTCGTAATGTCTCGTTTTCCATCTGAAATATATACAAACAATTAAACAACAAACAACAAAGAGAAATTTTTTTTTATTATTATTCTAGATCATATGATTCTTTTAACATCCATTGTCTTGTTGATAATTGTTCATAATAATGTCCAGCTATTTCATAAAGCCAATTTTGATCAATAACAGTTATATCCGACATATAGATTTTAGTTGATTGAATCAATTCATTAAATAATATTGTTTTAGGTAATTGACTTTGTGTTGTATCTTGTTGGGTTAATATTGATGATAAAATACATGAAGGATGCATGTAAAGTTCTTGAAATGAACCACGAAATGTTCGATAAGTATAACCATCAATTGAAAGTTGTGCAGCATTCATAAAAAAAGCATCTGTTAAACATTTAAGAACTGGTATAACATCATCACCTGATGATAATAAGATTTTATCACTTTTTGTTATTAAACGACGAAGTGATTTTTCTAATGAATCTTTGATTTCCAGTACACGTTTTAATGATTTTACATTTAACATATATCTTTAATGAAAGAATAACATTAAAAATTTTAAAATTATACTATATGTGCTAACTCATTCGACAGCAACGTGACTTTGCACAATTAAAATAAGCGTATCTAGAGGAAAGTCTATCAAGATTTATTTCTTGGAGATTCATTGAATTTATTTATTGTTAAAATATACTCAAATTCAATTGTACCACAAGGGAATCATAGTTGCCATGAATAAACCTTCACCATCAGCTCGTCGTGTATTCTACGTATCATTCTCACTTTTAGTCAAACTTCTTTCTTTCGATAATAACATGAATAACGGGATTTATAGAAAAATTCCAAACAGTCTCGACAAAATAAATCCGGGAAACTGCTGATCTTGGGACAAGAAACTTTTCTAGAGCTAATTTTTATATGCTGCATGTATGTTAAATCATTCTAGATACCCTAAAGAAATTAGCGCTAGAGATTCTTATTCAAAGGAGTTATCAGTGAAAACACTAGAGTTTACAACATGATACAAAAAAGAACATTGACTATTACAACATGCATTTCACTTCTTAAAAATCTCCGAATTGAGTTAACATTTCTGAAAAGTATTTAGTAAATTCCGTAGGCAATTACTGAGGCCAGAAAAATTTCATCCAAAGTTTTCCGGAGCATGTCTAGATTTTTCAAAAAAAAATTCATTTACTTTTTGTTAACGATGCAATGGAGTACGAAAAAGTGCTCTTATAACCAACTGAGAAGTCCAAAATCAAATTTAAATGGTACAAATCCTTCTGCGAAATCTCTAGATGATGATAAGACGAAAATTTTTGTTTGCGCAACTTGATAGATCCTCTAGAAAATCGTTTTTTGAGACGAGAGATTTTTAGAGTCCAATTTTTCTGAGAATTTTACCATAGATGTGATTCATGCCGTAGAGTCTATTCTGAAATTTTTGGAATTTTTTCTTGTACAGCTAGAGAGATATTCACTAATTAATGATATATTTGCCATGAACAATACATAAGATTTAAGACTTAAAAGCGGTATCAGGAAAAAAAACTGATGCTTTTTTTGTTTTCTAAAATGTACAATGTGAACTCAGCAGATTCTCTCTCTTATTTGTTTCGTTTTCACTTCTGTTAACATATATTAGTTCGTAGCTAATATTTATTTCTAAGAAAATCAAAATAAAATCATTTAATATTTACTTATCACAAAATTGTTGTGGCATCATTTGTTGTTCAAATGTTTTAATAACATTAAGAGCAGTAATTAGATCTCCTTCTTGACAAGCAAATTTACTATGTAATTTCATTGCGCGCATCTTTTCATTCGGTGAACTAATAAAAACATGTTTAACTTGAAGTGATGCAATTATTTTTAAAATTTCTTGTGTACACCCATATTCAAGTGAAATTATTAATGCTCGTGCATGTGTTGGATGTAATGGTAATTCAGCCATTTTCATACCTAAATCAGGCGTTAAATGAGATTGTTGATCAATAGCACGTAATGCATATAAACATTCAATAGCTTGAAGAAGATTTTTTGATGGTGGTGGTGATGGAAAATCAAATCGAACAATATTATGTATACCTAAAGCTTTTATTTGAAGAACGGCAAAAGCTAAATCACATCGTTGCATTTCAGGTAATTGAAATTCTTTCATTTTTTCATATTCTGATGCTGGATAAAGACGATAAGCTTTTCCTGAACGAATACGTCCAGCACGACCAGCACGTTGTAATGCTGATGAACGTGTTATTGGTAATGTTGTTAAAACTTCAAAACCAAATTCTGGATTAAATAATTTTAAACGTACATAACCACAATCAATAACATAGACAATATCTAATTAAATAAAAAGTTTTCATAAGAAAAAACAGCATTCCAGTACAGCTTCATTATACTAAGTGAAAAGTCTCTCGCGGATTATAGTCCTTTTGCAAGGATAATCAGCCAACAGAAAAACGACTCTACTTATTCATTTTTCTACTTCGTTTTTCTTAATTTAATACTATTATTAGTATTCTAATCATGGATGACGGAGTCACAGGACTTGAATAGACTCAAAATCTACTCTAGATTTACGTACCGTAGGCTAGATTAGGCTCGAACATTTGTTTCCTATTCCACCAGATTGATAGATCTATGTAGTATGTAGAAAGTTTTTTCATCGTCTTCAGCAGTAAATGGTAACATTTTCCTAATGAAGTAGACTTAGAACATGTGCTGGAGGAAGCATTCAATTTTGTATAACTAAATGTTAGACCCTGCATTGCCAATGGCTAGAATTATATACTTCTTTGTAACACCGGTGAAGAAGCCCTGTACCAGAAAATCAAATTAGATAAACTAAAAGCTGCCCAAAGCTTTCTTCATATTTAGTGTCTAAGCTTACATCTACTCTAGATTCAAAACGCTCCATCATCTGTGATTCTAACTATTGATGTAACTGGCAAATAAGTCTGCTGTACATATCAATTAAATCAACAACAAATCTCACCGCACTATTACATATATATCGATAAGCTCACAAACACTAATATTGTTGATTTTCTTAAGTTTTAACTAGATCAGTTGACGCTTTTTTTGCATTGGTCATATGATAATTGTGGCAAATCAATGCATAGCTACTGATCATCGCTGACATCTTAAATATAAACTTTTATCTGCACAAACATCAAAAACTGCACTATTTGGAATGTTGTCAAGCATATTTCAGCCATTCAAACTTTGACGAAGAGTTCCGAATATTCTAGAACAGTCTAAGTTTTTTCACACAATGAAAGATTCTAGATCTTCTATTATGAGTAATCTTCTAATGTAAACTTCTATCCACGAAGAATCGAATATCATTATTACATACTAGTTAGTTCACTATCATTATGTTTCAGGTATAAAAACAAGTAGAACTATAGCTGATTTTCATTTGTTCATAAACTGATCTGTTTCATTTTCATTATATTCTTTTTCTTTATTATTATTAATATTATTATCATAATCGTCTTCGAATTTCAACTGATGATGTGCCGATTAACGTACTTATTCATGTTCACATTCATCAATGATCAAAGTAATTTCAACATTTGAGTCATTATTAGAATTATCAAAATTTTGAATCTTCATTATCATAAAAGAATGCATGATGTTGCTATGTCATATTTTATATATTTACTAAATGTATATTACTGCTAATACAAATGAAGTTTAATATTAATCGTTCTGTCTTTTTCACTCTAGCTGACAATACCTTTTTTTCTTCCTCTAAAGGCAATCTATTTTTTGTCATGTATACATAAGCTATTACTTTCTTCTCTATTCTTTCGTAACTATTATTCTCCAATGAACATGATTCAGAAACTTTTTAACAAAAAAACAAAGTTAACAAGATTTAAATGAAAGACTCTTTCACAAGAACCGGATCTTGTGAAATTAGGAGAAAGAGCAGAGATTGGAGTCTTATCCTTAATATGTCGTCCAGGACCTATTTCCGTCGCTAAGATCTGTAATGGAAATGGAAAAGACGCAAAACTTCGACTTAAAATTCACACTCATTATTTTCTTCGAAAATATATGTGAGTTTTATAAAACAAGAAAATTTTACTTTACTTGGAATTGTTAAACTTGTTTCAGCAATATTTGTTGCAACAATTATTTTTCGTGTATTTGGTGGTGTTTTTTCAAAAACTTTCATTTGATCAATAAATTTTAAATTAGCATATAATGGTAAAATAATTAATTTTTTTCTTTGATCTTTACGTTTTAAATGTTGTTGTTCATCGTTTAAACGTTTAGCATAATCATGTAAATCACGTATTATTTTTAAAACATCATCTTGTCCAGATATAAAACATAGAATATCACCTTGTTCATTATATTTTTCATTTTCATGTATTTGTATACATGTATCAACACATGCTTTACAATAATCAGGTACAGATTCAGTTGTATGATAAATTTCAACTGGATATGAACGTCCTTCAACACTCATTATACAACATTCATCAAGTTTTTCTTCTTCATTATTTTCTTCAGATTGATTTGGATTTTTTGATATTGAACTTGTTTGATGTTCAAAAAATGCACGTAACCGTTCACAATCAATTGTAGCTGATGTTATAATAAGACGTAAATCTCGTCGACGTCTTTGAATTTTTTTTAATAAACCTAATAAAAGATCAGTTTGAATCGCACGTTCATGCGCTTCGTCTATTATTATCACATTATATCGTGTTAACAATGGATCATACATAAGTTCACGTAATAAAAGTCCTTCAGTCATTACTAATAATTGTGTTAAACCACTTGAACAAACATCTTCAAAACGAATACGATAACCAATTTCTTTTCCTAATAAAACATCCTTTTCATCTGCAATACGTTGTGCCAATTGAATTGTTGCTATACGACGAGGTTCAGTCATACAAATTAACTTGCCATTACGAGTCCAACCACTTTCAAGAAGATATTGAGGAATTTGTGTTGATTTTCCACTACCTATTTATATGAAAGATTTGTATT